GTCGGTTGAGGGTGTCCCCAGGTGGCCCCAGGTGTCCCCTGGTGTCCCCGTGCCCCCCCCGTGTCCCTGTGTCCCCATGTCCCTCCGTGTCCCCGTCAGGTTGATGCTGGAGATGGCCGGGTGCACCATGAAGCGCAGGAGCTGTTCCAGCGCCGCTGGGGACACGGGGCTGTCAGCGTGTCCCCAAGTGTCCCCAAGTGTCCCCTGGTGTCCCCATGTCCCCCCCCCATGTCCCTGTGTCCCCATGTTCCCCTGTGTCCCCGTCAGGTTGATGCTGGAGATGGCCGGGTGCACCATGAAGCGCAGCAGCTGCTCCAGCACCACTGGGGACACGGGGCTGTCAGCATGTCCCCATGTGTCCCCTGGTGTCCCCGTGTGTCCCCAGGTGTCCCTGTGTCCCCCCCGTGTCCCCGTGTACCCCCCGTGTTCCCATGTCCCTCCGTGTCCCCGTCAGGTTGATGCTGGAGATGGCCGGGTGCACCATGAAGTGCAGGAGCTGCTCCAGCGCCACTGGGGACAGGGGGCCGTCAGCATGTCCCCAAGTGTCCCCAGGTGTCCCCGTGTCCCTCCAAGTGTCCTCGTGTCCCCACAAGCGTCCTGGTGCCCCCCCCAAGTGTCTGCATGTCCCCAAACTGTCCCCATGTCCCCCAAGTGTCCCCATGTCCTCCCATGTCTCTCTGTGCCCCAAAGTGTCCCCATGTCCCAAGTGCCCCCATGTCCCCCAAGTGTCCCTGCATCCCCCAAGTGTCCCCATGTCCTCCCACATCCCTGTGTACCACAAAGTGTCCCCATGTCCCCGAAGTGTTCCTGTGTCCCCCAAGTGTTCCTGCGTCCCCATGTCTCCCAGGTGTCCCCGTGTTCCACAAAGTGTCCCCATGTCCCCCCAGGTGTCCCCATGTCCCCCCAGCTGTCCCCATGCTCCCCCAGGCGTCCCCATGTCCCCCCAGGTGTCCCTGTGTTCCCCCAGGTGTCCCCATGTCCCCCTAAGCGTCCTCGTGTCCCCCAAGTGTCCCCATGTTCCCTTAGGTGTCCCCATGTTCCCCCAGGCGTCCCTGTGTCCCCCCAGGTGTCCCCATGTTCCCTTAGGTGTCCCTGTGTTCCCCCAGGCGTCCCCATGTCCCCCCAGGCGTTCCCATGTCCCCCCAGGCGTCCTCGTGTCCTCTAGGTGTCCCTGTGTCCTCCCAGGTGTCCCCATGTCCCCCCAGGTGTCCCCATGTCCTCCCAGGCGTCCTCGTGTCCTCTAGGTGTCCCTGTGTCCCCCTAGGTGTCCCCATGTTCCCCGAGGCATCCTCGTGTCCCCCAAGTGTCCCTGTGTACCACAAAGTGTCCCCATGTCCCCTCAGGTGTCCCCATGTCCCCCCAGGCGTTCCCATGTCCCCCCAGGCGTCCTCGTGTCCTCTAGGTGTCCCTGTGTCCTCCCAGGTGTCCCCATGTCCCCCCAGGTGTCCTCATGTCCCCCCAGGCGTCCCCATGTCCCCCCGGTGTCCCTGCGTTCACCTAGGTGTCCCCATGTTCCCCCAGGCATCCTCGTGTCCCCCAAGTGTCCCTGTGTACCACAAAGTGTCCCCGTGTCCCCTCAGGTGTCCCCATGTCCCCCCAGGTGTCCTCATGTCCCCCCAGGCGTCCCCATGTCCCCCCGGTGTCCCTGCGTTCACCTAGGTGTCCCCATGTTCCCCCAGGCATCCTCGTGTCCCCCAAGTGTCCCTGTGTACCACAAAGTGTCCCCGTGTCCCCTCAGGTGTCCCCATGTCCCCCCAGGTGTCCTCATGTCCCCCCAGGCGTCCCCATGTCCCCCCGGTGTCCCTGCGTTCACCTAGGTGTCCCCATGTTCCCCCAGGCATCCTCGTGTCCCCCAAGTGTCCCTGTGTACCACAAAGTGTCCCCGTGTCCCCTCAGGTGTCCCCATGTCCCCCCAGGTGTCCTCATGTCCCCCCAGGCGTCCCCATGTCCCCCCGGTGTCCCTGCGTTCACCTAGGTGTCCCCATGTTCCCCCAGGCATCCTCGTGTCCCCCAAGTGTCCCTGTGTACCACAAAGTGTCCCCGTGTCCCCTCAGGTGTCCCCATGTCCCCCCAGGTGTCCTCATGTCCCCCCAGGCGTCCCCATGTCCCCCCGGTGTCCCTGCGTTCACCTAGGTGTCCCCATGTTCCCCCAGGCATCCTCGTGTCCCCCAAGTGTCCCTGTGTACCACAAAGTGTCCCCGTGTCCCCTCAGGTGTCCCCATGTCCCCCCAGGTGTCCTCATGTCCCCCCAGGCGTCCCCATGTCCCCCCGGTGTCCCTGCGTTCACCTAGGTGTCCCCATGTTCCCCCAGGCATCCTCGTGTCCCCCAAGTGTCCCTGTGTACCACAAAGTGTCCCCGTGTCCCCTCAGGTGTCCCCATGTCCCCCCAGGTGTCCTCATGTCCCCCCAGGCGTCCCCATGTCCCCCCGGTGTCCCTGCGTTCACCTAGGTGTCCCCATGTTCCCCCAGGCATCCTCGTGTCCCCCAAGTGTCCCTGTGTACCACAAAGTGTCCCCGTGTCCCCTCAGGTGTCCCCATGTCCCCCCAGGTGTCCTCATGTCCCCCCAGGCGTCCCCATGTCCCCCCGGTGTCCCTGCGTTCACCTAGGTGTCCCCATGTTCCCCCAGGCATCCTCGTGTCCCCCAAGTGTCCCTGTGTACCACAAAGTGTCCCCGTGTCCCCTCAGGTGTCCCCATGTCCCCCCAGGTGTCCTCATGTCCCCCCAGGCGTCCCCATGTCCCCCCGGTGTCCCTGCGTTCACCTAGGTGTCCCCATGTTCCCCCAGGCATCCTCGTGTCCCCCAAGTGTCCCTGTGTACCACAAAGTGTCCCCGTGTCCCCTCAGGTGTCCCCATGTCCCCCCAGGTGTCCTCATGTCCCCCCAGGCGTCCCCATGTCCCCCCGGTGTCCCTGCGTTCACCTAGGTGTCCCCATGTTCCCCCAGGCATCCTCGTGTCCCCCAAGTGTCCCTGTGTACCACAAAGTGTCCCCGTGTCCCCTCAGGTGTCCCCATGTCCCCCCAGGTGTCCTCATGTCCCCCCAGGCGTCCCCATGTCCCCCCGGTGTCCCTGCGTTCACCTAGGTGTCCCCATGTTCCCCCAGGCATCCTCATGTCCTCTAGGTGTCCCTGTGTCCCTCCAGGTGTCCCCATGTTCCCCCAGGTGCCCCTGTGATCCCCCAGGCGTCCTCGTGTCCCCCAGGTGTCCCCCGGCGTCCCCAACGCACTGTACTTAATGTAGGGGTGGTCCTTGGGGACACGCTCCAGGCTGATGTCGTTCTCGTGGCGCTTGGGGACGTCCGAGTCGGCCACGCGCGGGGACAGGGTGACAATGAGGCCCTCCACGAACTTGATGGCGTGCGTGCGCACGCCGTCGTTGTCCGAGTCCAGCAGCAGCAGGATGTCCCCCGCCATGGCCGACACCATCTCCCAACAGGCCTCCTGCAGCTCGCTGATGGCCTTGGACTTCACCATCCACTGCGGGGACAGCGGAGGGGACGTGTCACCGCGTGGCCGTGTCACCGTGTCACCCGCGGCGCCCGCCGCTCACCTGCAGGGCCACCTTGTAGAGCTGCGTCATGGTGAGGATGGCCTTCTTCACCACGTTGACGTTGTCGTCCTTGAGGAGCATGTTGAGGTTGGCGATGAGCTTGAGGAGCAGCTCGATGTCGCGCTTGCTGGGGACAAGGGGACAGGGTGACGCGCACGGGGACGGCCCCGGGGACGCGGTGGCGCGCGTGGGACGCGCTCCTCACCAGGCCTCCTCGATGAAGCCCACCACGAACTTGCGCACCTCGCTGGACTTGTCCGCTTGGAAGGCGATGATCTCCTGCGGGACGCAGGGGACGCCTTGGGGACACTTGGGGACACCTTGGGGACACCTGGGGGACACCTTGGGGACGCCCTGGGGACACTTGGGGACGCCTTGGGGACACTTGGGGATGCCTTGGGGACACCTTGGGGACGCCTTGGGGACATCTGAGGACATTTGGGGACACCTTGGGGATGCCCTGGGGACACTTGGGGATGCCCTGGGGACACTTGGGAGACACCTTTGGGATTCCCTGGGGACACTTGGGAGACATCCAAGGACACTTGGGGACACCTTGGGGACACCAGAGGACACTTGGGGACACTGTTAGGATGCCTGGGAATACTTGGGGACACCTTGGGGATACCCAAGGACACTTGGGGATGCCTGGGGACACTTGGGGACACTTGGGGACACCTTGGGGACATCAGAGGGCACTTCGACCCTGTGGCCAGTTGGGAGACACCTTTGGGATGCCCTGGGGACACTTGGGAGACATCCAAGGACACTTGGGGACACCTTGGGGACACCAGAGGACACTTGGGGACACTGTTAGGATGCCTGACAATACTTGGGGACACCTTGGGGATACCCAAGGACACTTGGGGATGCCTGGGGACACTTGGGGACACTTGGGGACACCTTGGGGACATCAGAGGGCACTTCGGGACACCTTGGGGATGCCTGGGGACACTTGGGGGACACCCGAGGACACTCGGAGATGCTTAGGGACACCCGAGGACACTTGGGGACACTTGGGGATGTCTTGGGGACACTTGGGAACACCCAAGGACACTTGGGGATACTTGGGGACACTTGGGGACACCCTGGGAATGCCTGGGGACACTTGGGGACACCTGAAGACACTTGGGGATACTTGGGGACACTTTGGGGATGGCTGGGGACACCTGGGAACACTTGGGGACACCCTAGGACACTTGGAGAGACACTTGGGGACACCCTGGAGACACTTGGCAACACTTTGAGGACACCTGGTGACACTTGAGGACATTGGGGAGGCTTCAGCACATCTGAGGATGCCTAGGGACACAGTTGGGGACACTTGGGGACACCCAAAGACACTTGGGGACACCTGAAGACACTTAAAGAAGCTTGGGGACACTTGGGGACACCTGAGGATGTCTGGGGACAACTGGGAGCACTTGGGGACACTTGGGGATGCCTGAGAGCACTTGGCGACACCGGGGGACATTTGGGGAGACACTTGGGGACCCCTGAGGAAACTTGGGGACACCTGAGGATGTCTGGGGACACCTGCGAACAGTCGGGGACACCTTGGGGATGTCTGAGGACATTTGGGGACATCTTGGGGACACTTGAGAACACTTGGGGACACCTGAGGACACCTGGGGACACCTGAGGATCTCTGGGGACACCTGGGAACAGTTGGGGACACCTTGGGGATGCCTGAGGACATTTGGGGACATCTTGGGGACACTTGTGAACACTTGGGGACGCCTGAGGACACTTGGGGACGCCTGAGGATCTCTGGGGACACCTGGGAACCGTTGGGGACACTTGGGGATGCCTGAGGACGTTTGGGAGGGGACACTTGGGGACACTGGGGAACATTTGGGGAGACACTTGGGGACACCTTGGGGATCCCTGAGGACACTTGGGGACACCTGGGGACACCTTGGGGATGCCTGAGGACACTTGGGGATGCCTGAGGACACCCGGGGGTACACTTGGGGACACTTGGGGACACTTGGGGACACGGTGGCAGCGCTCACGTCCAGGAAGTTGTCCAGCAGCGTGGGGTCCTTGTTGATGATGAGCTCCTGCACCTGCAGGGGACAGGCGCTGGGGACAGCCCGCGGTGGCCTCGGGGACAAGTGCCACCCCCTCCCGCCTCGGCCACCGCCGTCCCCAGCGCGGGGACGGGGCTGTCACCTGCTTGAGGACGTTGATCTTGGAGTCGTTGCTGATGAGGGCGGCCTGGTTGAGGAGCTCCACGACCTGCGGGGACAGGCGGATGTCACCGCGTCACCCTGAGGGTGTCACCGCGTCACCCACAGGTGTCACCGCATCGCCCTGAGGGTGTCACCACATCACCCCAAGGGCATCACTGTGTCACCCCGAGGGTGTCACCATGTCACCTGCGGGCGTCACCGCATTGGTGTCACATCACCCCGAGGGTGTCACCGTGTCACCCTGAGGGTGTCACCGCGTCACCCTGAGGGCATCACTGTGTCACCCCGAGGGTGTCACCGCGTCACCCTGAGGATGTCACCATGTCACCACATCGGTGTCACATCACCCCGAGGGTGTCACTGCGTCACCCACGGGTGTCACCGTGTCACCCCGGG